TAGGCAAAAAACTATTGCTCCTTCGCTAAGAACAGCTCCTAAGCATAGAAAATCAACTGCCTGCTGCCTCTCTTCCTCCACCTCTTTCGCGTGTCTATTATAGTGTCCGGAAAGTTTTGAAAAAATTTACTCGGTATTTTTATCACAAACTCCTGCCATTCGGCATCAGTTTTCCCATCTTGCCGCCTGCATCTCTGCCGAATTTGGACGCTCCAAGCCCACATTAGCTATTTTTGCACAAACCCCGACCCCAGTGGGTGGAGTCTACATCTGTTACCCGGCATCAGTTTTCCCATCTTGCCGCCTGCATCTCTACCAAATTTTGACGCTCCAGATCCAAATTAGCTATTTTTGCATAAACCCCGCCCCCAGTGGGCGGAGGCTACACCTGCCATTCGGCATCAGTTTTCCCATTTTTCCGCCTGCATCTCTGTCGAATTTGAACGCCCCAGGTCCAAATCAACTATTTTTGCACAAACCCCGCCCCCATTGGGCGGAGTCTACACCTGCTACCCGGCATCGGTTTTCCCATCTTGCCGCCTGCATCTCTGCCAAATTTGGACGCCCCAGATCCAAAATGAATATTTTTGCGGAAGCCTATCTTTCATAAAATTACGATACGCTTTTCTTTGTCACTCCTCTTTGTTCAAGCAGTTGTTTTCGTCCACTTTTAATCACGTTCGTCATTTACTCTTCTCTTTTTATTCAATCCTCATATTGTGTCAATTTCTTCAATTTATTCACCTGGAATCGCTCCGTGAACTGTTTGTGTTGGTGAATTTAGTATATTTCAGGAATATACGTATTTCAGATTTCTGAAACAGCACCGCAACGAAGCTGAAGGAGCTCAGGCACAGCACCAGTTGTCGGCTGATTGTGAAGAGATCGGGTCTGGCATCATCTTCCTGAACGGCGTGCCGTGCTCGCAGCACAGGATCGCGCGATGTGAAGGAAAAGATTTGAGCTCCCAATGGAAGGAAACGGAGAGTCGTCGCGGAACCACTGCCGCTGGCCGTGGAATTTTAGGGAGAAGTTCCGTTACCCGAGGAGGGCATTTCGATGATTAAAAATTCAAAGGATGTACCACATAGCCCAGCTAGGCTGTTGGGGCTGACAAGGTACATGAAACCAGCTACGACTGCACTCAGATGGTGGTCATGGGTACAACAATGGTGCAGAATATCTCATTACTATAATCTCGGAGCAGTCCACCGGTATCCTCTGCGGTGCACCAGGACCTTCAAAGGAAAGGTGTATTGGAGTGGTAAGGCCCACGATGCTCTACTGCAGCGAGTGTTGGCCCTTGAGTAAATCCCATGAAGGACAGCTCCACTCCGCTGAGATGAGAATGCTCAGAGAGGGCCTGAGAATGGGCCTGCGGCTGGATGCGGCTAGATAGGGTCAGAAAAGGCGACAGAACGTCTATGCAAACAGAGAGGAGCAGCGCCTGCGATGGTTTGGACCACAGAGCCATCCGATAAGGGAAGCAATGGAGTTCGAGGCTCAAGGTAAGCTACCACGAGGAGCCCCAAAGAAGAGATGGCAAGGTGTGATCAAGAAGGACCTCGCCGAAGCCAAGGTGACGGCAGAAGATGCCGTAGATAGAACGAATCGGAGACGGCTGACAAGAACAGCAGACCTTGCGACGACGCGGGATTAACGCTAGGGAGAAGAAGAAAAAGAATCTCAGAGCAACGCGTACTGGAAGGGGGAAGATGAAGTGCGACGATTCACAGCTGCTTTTGTTAATTGGAGCAACAGATCAACGGATAGACGATGACCGATGAAACTTCAACCCGATCGCCCCTGCTTCCAGAAATGGAAAGAATAGTCTAGCGACCAACTACGTCGCTGCGGAAATCTCACAGACTAAGCCCATTTCATGATACATTTTTGGCTGCTTTCACACTTCAGCTATATCTAATGGTTTCTATGATTTTTTCGATAGCATATGTATACTCTGAAAAGTTCTTCCACGGTCTTGTGGGGCTGTCTGAAGTGTGGGAGTGGTTTCGCCTGCTCTGATCGGTGATGAAGCTGCCTAGCTAAATGCGCAGTCCTCATCAATTCGATTTTTATACAGTGCGTCGCAAAATGATACAGCCACCTCTAATTTTCCC